TGACTACTAACCATAGTGGTTCTCCTAATTTGGGTAGCTTTGATAATCCGTCGACTATCGATGGCCCTTCTTCATTCTTATTTGTGAACTCAGCATCCACTTCCTTCATGTGCACCCTAAAGAAAGGAGTAAATATCTCCCTGCACGATGGAAGAAATATTTTAGAGCTATACTTGTCATGGTTGTAGATACTAGACAAGAGATGGAAATGTTAATAACCCATAGAATCTTGGCCTGTCAGGAGTCAACAAGAATTCTAAGAGCATTATAAAGATATGTATAAATATTCTTTTGGATTGATAATGGAATCGCTTAAACAACCTGTAGCTTGGTACCACGGATGGTGTAACTCACTGAGGATGCCAGCGAAACGTGTGAAAAAGTATTAATACAACGGTTAATAGCTGGAAATGATCCCGGTCACTATGACAGAGGACTTCAGACAAAATAGGCTCATCTGGGTCGCCGAGAAACACAGGATTATGAATGCCATTCCTCTAATCAAACGTTTAATCCAAATAAATTGTCTAAAAATTTTATCACCATAACGTTCCTAAACACATAAATAGGAGACAAGCCTTAGATACGAAGAACAACTAGGTTTCGATAAATCTCCTGATATAAAATTGTTAGGGGAGTTTCATTTCATATGAAAGTGCATGAAGAAGAAATTCGTTGGTCGATCTCACCAGATGAGGACGGATAAACATTGTTGTACTGCAGTCGTTTGGCTTTTATACGATATTCATGCTGGCACAGTCCACGAGATTTCCTCCCTCCTTTCAGGTGAAAACGGGCTGAGCCTCATTCTATCATATGATGGACATCATCAGAGCTGAGTCTCATTCTCGTAAAAGTCTCACGTTAACACTAGGCCAAAAACACTATCCGGCTTTATCCTACCTCTTATATAGACTCAGTTACGCCAAAAGAAAATTAAAAACCTAGATAGATATATATAGAGTTGTTTGACTAATTATCTTTCATTATGGTCCTGTTACTGTTGTTCAAGCGTGTGCGTGTGTGTTAGCGTATATATGCAATACCGGTCCTAAATCAGAGTTGTCAAAAGGGTAATCTCAGACTCTGATCATCAAGTTCTAATGACATAACAGAAAACCTTGACCGAGACTGCGTAAATCCATAAGCAAGTATGGTTGAGATAATGAGATATTAGCTTGTAAGTATGAGCGTCAACTTACGAAACCACTTGTCCTAACCTCTCAGTCTAGGTTTATTAGCGTTGAGCCTCCAAGGAAAGGCAAGACTGGGGTTGCGTTATCTGCGTAATCTGGCATGTCTGGTTTGGTTAATAATCTTATTCTAACATGATGGACGAATGTGAGTGAAATTAGAACTATCACCGAGCAAACAAACTGATTCTCCTTCTTTTGGACGGCGGCTCAACACCCTTTCTCTCCTTCAATCTATCAATCAAGCATAAGTAGTTCCTACTCAACTTTTTACCATCGTTCCTTACATTCAATGTATTTTCTAAGCTATTAATTTCAACAGACTCTCTTATTTTTCTTTTAACCACAGATGTACCATAATCACCAAACCTACTAGTTTGAAAGCATTCTATCTAGTCTTGTCTCTGACCTGCATGTTCGGCCACTTCTGGCCGTCAGACCCAGCTTCCTTCAAAAGCATTTTTGTGTTCTCCCAATCTTTGTTGAGTAGTTTGACATGTCTCACCAACATAACATCGACCCCATTAGCAAACAATCTTGTAGCAACCGGATCTCGATAATGGATCATATTTCTCTCTAAGAGATGGCATAACAGAAGAGTGTAAGGGTTTCTTTTAACACTCTTTTTATGCTCCATTTCTTTACTAATTCGCCTATCTTTTTTGAGAGAAAGCATGACGGCCAAATTAAGGCATAGAAAAATGTCTCAGTTTGTCTGTCTTTTGACTCATTGGTCTCCGACTGAAAATATATTCCTTAGTAGAGAGATATTATTCTTAATACGGCCCAAAGGATAATTATTTTCTAGGAATATATTTGTCAGCCATTGCAACTTTTTAGTCAAATGTTTGCTATCCACTAGCCTCATACTTCTAAAAATCATTGACTTCAAAATTCCAACCTTACTTTTGTAACTATGGTTGTAAAGAGAATTAAGCAGAGCCAACATATGTTAACTTCCTATAAGCATCTCTTCCTAACTTACCCTTTTCTCTAGTGATGAGAACATCCAGAAAAGATAAGGACTTATTCTCTTTCATTTCCATCGTAAACCTAATGTTCCTTTCATGCTGGTTCAGTAAAAGTAGGAAATTATCTAAACTGTCCTTACCATGAGGCCAGATTACAAAATAGTCATCCATGTATCTAACCAACAATTTTTCCGTCCTCATCTGATGAGATCGAACAACTAATCTCTTTTTCTTTCACTTTCATACGAAATGAAAGTCCCCCTAACAAGAGAGGGTTTCACGTCCAAAGCATGCTTCGATCCAGGCCAAGTTGCCTGTTCGAACTGTCAAATTTGAGGTTGTTTTCGCAAATCTCCGCAAGCAACTCTGTCGCCTGTATTCATCTAGCCAGCCTTGCATGCTTCATCCACCATTCTCGCTGTAGAGTGTACTTCGGTAACTACTAGAAGGGAATACAAAGGTCGCCATGTCTCAAATAGCCAAGTTTAACTTCCTTAGCTTGAGCGCTTTATTGTCGGTCTGACATTCTTGCAACTTTTGGAGACTTTACCTGTAACTTATGAACAAAGAGACCTTACTCAAGAGATTAGCAATAACCTTTACTGTGTTTAGCCCTTGTGAAGCTTACATATTATTTTGGTAATGGGAGCAAAAATAAGATGAATTAAAGTTGTACTCACTATATAGCGAAAGGATGTCAGCGACAGTTAGTTATCTTTGCAGAAGCCCAGAACTCATAAAAGGTAGTCCAACTTACAGTCTTTAATATCTCGATCACCTTAGTCGGAGGCCAACAGCGGAGTTCCATGGCTCTGCATTTATTTTGCTTTAATATGACTTTTCAGTTTTAAAGCAACCAATGCGAGATATTGCATAGAATTCAGAAACTCTGTCCACCATACCTTTCCTATTTTACTTTACTTTCAAATGAATAACCATAGCTTGTACCGAGGTAATAAGGTGTAAATAAAAAAGCTTAAGAGGCAAACGTCTCGGGCATTCTTTGTTTTATTTTGAAGCCTGCCAAAGCGATGAGGAAGTGGTGAGAGCAGCCAGATTTAAAGAGCATTTATTCGCAATAAAATTGCTGCTTATTCCAAACCTACGAAACACGAAAAATGAACACTCTCGTTAGATCGGGAATTAAAACCAATACAAGTATACTTATAAGCTGATCCATGCTCACAAATAATAATTTGAGCAAACTTTCCGATATACCTTTAGTTATCTGAATAACATAATGGCAGCCACCCAGAGGATATATGCTCCTTATGCAAAACCGCTTCGAACTGCTATATTTTCATAGAATCACAAGTTCTCATCGGTCCATCATATAGATCCAAGTGTTGGAAGATAATTCTAGAAATAGGTTGTCTGAATCCAGGCGATAACCGGATCCCATAACTTGTATGTTACGTACGAGTAAGACAAACAGTTTTGATTCAGGTTACAACAATTGAAAAATATGTTATTAAATCAAAGATCATATTAGAGTGCGATCTAAGTAAGGAAATCCCAAAAAGTCTAAAGCATCTTTCTGAGGAGCCTAAACGCATATCCAAAGTTTACTAACTAATATAAGAAAACATAGAGTAAATGTAACATTTAATGAATAGTTAAAAGCAAAATAAAGCAAAAGCCGATGCAGCTGAGAGCAGCTGAGCGGAAAGTTAACCAGAAGGGCGACAGAATTCTGTCGGAAATGGCGCTTCCCAATAGTAAAGATGTTAGATCGAGGGAATAAGGCAAATTTCGATGAAGAGTAAGAATGAGGGGAAACAAAAAAGGGAAGTGCATCGATGGTTTGAAGCCATGCCAGCTTAAGCACAGGGCGCAAAAATAAAAGAGACTGACCACAAAGGCTATGCACCACAAAGTCCTTGTTTACTTCAAACGAAATGATAGGCCCTACCAAGCACAATAATTGCGAAAAGAAGCCCAAGTACAGCAATATTCTAGATATAGTTGGGAATAATAGAAACAATAGCAACGAGTCGAAAAGCCATTGCGAGATGAAAATCAATATTATTAATAATAATAATAAAAAGAATATTAGTTTTCCATGTCTCAGTAAGTTGAGTTGAGACAAAAATAATGGTATAACAAAACATACGATCAAATCAAGGCATGTCAGGTACTGAAATGATACTCGGGAATCCAAATAGTTGGGTAATATAAGGTAACGCATAAAGGCGAGAGCAAGAGAGAAGGCAATAAGGAAGAAGAAAGTGAAGAGCATGAAATTTAATATAGGAATTCTTAAAGGTGAGAAAAAAGAAAGCAAATTAACACAGATGAAAGACCTTTGGGCATGATCACTAAGGCAATAATGGAATATTATACGGCTGCTAAAGATTGAAGCTGCAGCAATTTTTGAATGAGTGAAACACAAACTATTGGAATGAAAAATAAATCTCAGAATCTGGCTGGTTCTGAGAATGGGTAACAGAAAGCACGCCTGCTGGTACAGAACATGGTGGATTCTGGTGGATAAAACGCCTGCCACGGCATCTAAGAGGATGCCTAATAAATGCGTGACAGAAACATATATTAGGCAGAATAAGGTTGAACATGATGCCAATGCGAGCAGGTGGGTCGATGATAATGCCGAAGGTATTGGCAGAAAAAGAAAATATGAATATGTGATATCTGAGGATACGCTAAGTAGCGGTAGTTTTTTTGAGTGTAAGACCATGACCAAAGGTTTGAAATGACTGTATTGGTGACAAAAAGGGCAGCAGTAGTAATAGAGCAAGGAAATGAAAACGGCGAAACGACCAGCAATCAGAGACAGGGCAGACACGGCCATAGTGGATTGTGCCCCCCCGGTGATTTCCTAACCTGGTTCCAAGGCGAAGTGTGCGAATGTCACATTGCGTCGGTAGGCCTGAGCAGTCTGCAGTTCGTGTCGCAAGTAGCGTTCACGTATTAGAAGACGCTCGTGGCGCAAACTGCCATGAAATAGTGACATTGGAGAGACCTATAATAGGGAAATAAACAATTGAAAAGAAAAACAAGGATAAATTAAGCAAATTACAACAAAGCTTGCCTTAAATACTCGGCTAAAGTGGTAATTATGCTGTATCAGAAGTATGGCACTTTAAAGTTTTTAATACACTGCCAGCTAAACTTAATACACTTTAGAATATAAAAACTCCTTTTATGCACAGCTAGCGCTTTAATATCTTACATAAAATAAAGTGAATGTCAAAGCCTTCTGTAATTCAATAAAGTTAACATTTTTGCGTGTAAAAAGTACCAATGATTAAACTAATATTTCTAAGGCAAGCTAAAAAATGAACATAAAAGATTATGCAAGAACAGGTAGTAGACAGAGAAAATATTAGAAATAATCAAGCCACGAAAAATTGAGATGAGAAAATAACATTATTTGGTATTGAAAAGATTATAAATGGAGGCTTACTAACAATAAATACAAAAGCAAAAAAAGG